AACTGATGAGCTTTACAAGATCTATGTAACTCTCTTCACCCCCCACTCCTACTATATAACAAGACATGATATAGATACAGATACATCTCCTGCATCAATATCATACTCCCCCCTATCGTCTATGCGGATCCCAATGCGTCTTGCCCATCAACACAAAACTCTCATACGGCGCCGCCCCCTCAATACTCGGTCTGAACGCCTGCACCTCTGCATACCTGTGTAGGAGGTAGCGGAAGTAGCAGTCACTATTACCAAATCACAGGTCAGCGCTATCCACCTCCCAAAACCAGCTTATGCCACCAAAGCCAGAGTCAAAAGAAACCCAAAGAAGAGAAGACTCACTTTGCAGCCGGACTGATATACCCCTGCCTCATCCCCTTCCACCCATTCTCCGCAATCCTCTCCACCTTCTCCCTCACCCCCTCCCCCATCAACCCCTCCATCACCCCCCCCAAATTCTTCTCAAACGGTAAAGGAACCTCTATATAATTTTGCTCGGGGTGGTTGTCTTGGGCGTTGAGGAGGTGGTGGTAGTGCTGGATGTATTGGAGTTTGTGCCCGACGATGACGGAGCGGCATTGTTGGAGGTACCTTCATGGTGGGGTGTCAGCTTTGCTCCAGCTTTCCCTCCCTCGCTGTGGAGCATCGAAAAACGACACAAGCCCTCGTCTTTCCCCCCCTCGCCCAAAGCCAAAGCAAAAAAAGAAAGAAGACAACTCACTTCAACCTCCCACTATAAGCCCACCCCTCCACATGCGCCAAAAACCGATACTGACAATGCTCAGCCGGGCTCTTGATATCCCCATTATTCTTCAGCCTCTCCTTCTCGTCCCCGTTGATAGCGCCCCAGTTGAGTTCTTTGACGTCGGACCAGGGTTGGTTTTGGGCGGCGCGGAGGAGGTCCTTGGAGGCGTCAGCGGTTGTCCTTCAGAGAGGAAGAGGAAGAGAAACTCAACAACTCACATGCCGAACTTCAACCATCGGACTCCCCCTCCAAAACAACTTGTCCGTCTTATTCTCCCAATCCCCCTTGATCACCTCCATCCCACTATCCACCTCCAGCCCTAACGATTGTTCATAAGCGAGCGTTTTGGCGCGTACTTCAGAGTAGGAGCCGACTCCGGGCTCGGGCCATGAGAAGAAGCCGAAATCTGTGATCAAGGTCAGCGGGGACGTTCAGGGGGAGGGGGGGAGGAGAAGGAGGGGGGAGCAGGGAAGGAGTGGTGGGAGAGGAGTGGAGGGGGAGAAGCGGAGGAAGGAGGACGTACCCGGCATAAGCCAAAGCGCTTTCTGGCTCGCTGTCCGACAGAGCGCAAAGATAGGGGATTTGCCAGCCCCCGCGTCGCTAGTCTGCACCACAAACCTATCCCACTTGTCAGCTTGATCTACCACCGACCTGAGCTGGGGATGGGGACTTACTCGACGTCCGGTAGAGGCTCGGGAGAAGTCAAAATGCCAGCATACACACCGGCGATAACGGCCTGCGTCCTCGTGTTGATGCCGCCCTTGTATACTTTGACAAAGAGCTATTCCTCTATCAGCAAACATTCGGTATAGAGGGGAAGGCCTCACTTGATTCTGATGAATTACAAGCCTCGCGTTCGCCTCCTTCTCGGCCTGATCCACCATCGACCTCGTGATCCCCCCCTTCGCCTTGTACCAGTCGTGCGCCCTATCCGCCTCGAGGTACAAGTCGGGGTAGGTATCCCGACATTGCTGCTGGGTCAAGTGTCGATTTTCGGCCTCTGTGAGCGCTGGCCAGGCGGCTTGAAAGTAGCCGTCTTGAGCGTCGGGCTGGGGGAAGAGGGGGAGGGTGAACTCTGTTCCGGGGTGGAGATGGGCGGTGAGGAGGAAGAGGGAGACTGCGGTGAGTGCGCCGACAAAGAGGATGGTCGAGCGAGTGGGCATGGAGAATGTAGGGTGGTGGATCTATAGGCGGGACATCTAAGCCGTGGAATGAATGAAATGATTGAAAACAAACGAATTTGATGACGACACGAGCAAGCGAGAAAGCGGGCAGCCCAATCTGGGAATAAAGATGGGGCGGAAAATGATTCCAGAGTGGTGCGGGGATGTCACCAGCGTCACAGGCACTAGCGCGGCTTTGGCGGATTGGTTCCGAGCTGGGGCTGTTTTTAGATGAAAACTGTGGATGGCAGCATCTGAAACTGCATCTTTACCGCGATGGCCCCCCAGCAAGTAGAGACCCTCGTTATCGGCGCCGGACCGACCGGTCTCGGCGCTGCCACCCGCCTCCACCAGCTCGATCGCTCCTTCCTCATCGTCGACAGCGCAGACAAGGCTGGTGGTCTCGCTGCCACCGACATCGACGACCAAGGCTTCTACTGGGACGTCGGGGGCCATGTCGTCTTCAGCCACTATGCGTACTTTGACGACACCATCAACCGCGCTCTCCCTCGAGACGAGGACTGGCAGACGCACCAGCGTATCTCCTACGTCCGCAGTGCCGGCAAATGGGTCCCTTGTACGTCCTCTCCCCTCACACACGCGTAGCCCGACTGACTCGCGTCCAGACCCTTACCAAAACAACGTCTCCCAACTCCCCCTCGAGCTCCGAGTAAAAGCCATCGACGGCCTCATCGCCGCCCAAGAGCACCGCGCCGCCACCCCCAACGAAAAGCCCACCACTTTCGACCAGTGGATCCTCCGCAACATGGGCGAGGGTATCGCCGACCTGTTCATGCGGCCTTACAACTTTAAAGTCTGGGGCGTCGACACCACCAAGGTGCGTCCCCCCCCCCCCCCCCCCCCCCATACTCCCAGGGCAGGGTTACTGACGAGCTACTGTAGATGCAATGTAAATGGCTCGGCGAGCGAGTCGCAGCCCCCAACGTCCGCGCTGCCGTCAAGAACGCCCTCACAATGCAAACAGCCCCCAACTGGGGTCCCAATGCCACCTTCCGCTTCCCCACGCACAACGGTACCGGCGGCATCTGGACCTCTGTCGCCGCCCAACTCCCCCCTGCTTCCTTCCGCCTCGGCTCCCAATCCGGCACCGTGTCCAAAATCGACGCCCTCTCCAAAACCGCCACTTTTGCCGACGGTTCGCAGGTCAAGTACGAGCACTTGGTTTCGACGATGGCGGTGGACCATTTGCTGGAGGGGTTGGTTGCTGAGGGGAAGGAGAAGGAAGTCGAGGGGATGAAGGTGGCGGCGAAGGAGGGTTTGGTGTACTCGAGCACTATCGTGTTGGGTATCGGAATCCGAGGCGAACGACCCGAGAGGATCGGCGACAAGTGTACCTCCACCCCCCTTCTTCCCTGCTTCTTGAGCTTACACCCGTACAGGCTGGCTCTACTTTCCCGAAGACAACGCACCCTTCTACCGCGCCACCATCTTCTCCAACTACTCCCCTTACCACACCCCCACCCCCTCCACCGCGCTCCCCACCCTCCAAAAAGCCGACGCCTCCCTCCCCTTCGACGCTGCCCCCAAGGACGGCCCCTACTGGTCCCTCATGCTCGAAGTCTGCCAGTCCGCGGACAAGCCTGTCGACGTGGACACGTTGATCGCCGAAACGGTCAAGGGCGCTGTGGCGACAGAGTTGTTGAGGCCGGAGGATGAAGTTGTGAGCTTGTACCAAAGGCGATTCGACCACGGCTAGTACGTCCCCCTTCTCTTCCCCTCTCATATTTTTCACTGATCTGATGAATAGCCCCACGCCCACCCTCGGCCGTGATGCCGCCGTCTCCTCAATCCTCCCCACTCTCCAGAACGAATTCGGTATCCTCTCCCGCGGTCGATTCGGAAGTTGGAAGTATGAAGTCGGAAACCAAGACCACTCCGTACGTCCTCCTCTCTCCTCTCTCCCTGTCCCCTCCCCTTTCCCCCCTTCCTCCTCCTCTCGTTCATCGCAGGCTACAAGCTAACATTTGGCGATAGTTTATGCTCGGTGTCGAAGCCGTCGACGCTGCGCTGTTCGGTACCCCCGAGATGACGCTCAACGAGCCCGACTGGGTTAACGGTCGACGCAACACTGAGAGGAGGTTGAAGTAGGCGAGTAGGCGAGTAGGCGAGTAGGCGAGTAGGCGTTTCTTGGCGTCTTGAAGTGTGTATGGTGAAGATATTCGTGTGCGAAAGATGGTCGAGGAAGATGAGACGAGAAGACAGGGGGAGATTTATAGAGTTCTAGATATACCACGGACTATCCATCAAAATGTAGCCTATGTCACTGTTTCTACCCATCCACATCAGATCATCAGATAGCCTACGCCAAGATATAGTACTCGAGTACGAGTACCGTACGAGTACTTGGTACTTGCAAGCCCTGCATCGTATCGACTCTTCCGACCGGCTTTGGACTTATGGCCTATATCCATAAACTTTAGCTTTTCTACGCCCCCCATCTTGCATCATAAGCTCGCTCCCATCGCACGTAAGTACCAATACTCTGCTCACTACGATCCATCATGGGAGTCTCCTCCAGTATATCAAGATGTCTGTCTATAATGCAAGATGCATGATGCAAAAGCTCCAACATCCAGAGCCCAGAGCCCACGTCGTCGTACGGATACAACTAAAAACAGCCCCCCATCCCAAGATTCCCGAATTCCGCAAATTCAAATCCAAATCCAAATCCAAAGACTCCACATACCCATACCCATACCCATACGCACATACGCACATACCTCAACGCTCTCTCTCCCTCCCCCCCCCCCAGCGCTTACACCCTTTCTCAGTTTCTCAGAACCCTCCAACCCCCAAAGACCAAGAGACCAAGAACAAAGACCCAGGGCCGCTCAATCCAAACACTGACACGTCTCCCCACTGCCTTCACGGCACGAGACCGACATGGTGCCGTCTGTACAGTCGAATATGAGGGGCCAGCCGCGTTCGAGGGCGTGTCCTGGGATCGCCAAGTCGAGAGTCAGCGTTGCGGTCTTGATAGAGATAGAGAACGGAAAGAAAAAGAAAAAAATGAGGAGGAGGAGGAGGAGGAGTGATGGGAGGATGAGGGAGAGAGCGAAGAGAATAAAAATACGAGGGAAACATGCTTCGCCTCTCACACCTTATCCAAGGACTCGAGCCACTAAAGGAAGGATAGAGAAGAAAAGGCTCACCGAGCGTAGGGTTCGAAGGCTTGTTATTCCACCATCCCTCTTTCCAAATCCAATGTTCCGGCGCCGCATGAAACTTTGATCTCAGATTCTCATATGTTCGGAGGGGGTTGTCGAGGATACGTTTGCGGGAGACGATGAATTGGCCTGCCCATGTAGCCTAATTCTGGTGACAGCGATGGAACAACGATACAGAGGGGGGGCAGCGGCAGGGGTACGGTGGAGGAAGGGACGGGAAGAGGGGGAAAGCGGGACGTACGAGTTGGGGAACAGGAGGGCAAAAGTCATTCCGGAACATCGAGTAGATATCGGCAAGACGAGGGAAAGAGTTGGCATTCTCATCAAGTCCACAGGTCTGGTTGATATAAGGCCCGAAAGACAAGAAACCGGTATTGGTGCGGAGGAGCTTTTCGAGTCGGGGGATGAAGACCCAGTGCCAGGCCAGATGGGGCTATACGAGTGTCAGCCTGCACAACGAAAGGTGGGGGGTTATGCGCACCTGCATGAAAAGGGTATGTCCAGCAAGACCAGTCTTGGGCTCGTTGTACACTCTCGCTATATGGTTCTAAAAAAACAAGTCAGCTTGCACGGCAAGGGTCGGTTCCCCGAACAATGACCAAACTCACAAGGTACGTCTCTCCCTCTCTCCCCACATTCGGGATCTGCGTCACCTCATCCGCAAGCTCCAGCAGCTCCCTCAGCCCGGCCTTGTTGCGGTCGCCCTTGTGGTAGATGATTGTGCGGTGTGTTTTGCCCTCGGGAAGGCGTTGGAGGACGGCGTCTATCGATTCGCGCATCAGGTTGGCGTCTTCGTCATAGTGAGCAAGGACGCTGGGGGCGGGTCAGCCTGTGATCAGAGGTAGAAGAGAAGATACTGACATGTCGTAGTCGCTGACAGATATCCAAGAGTCGCGTCGTAATGTCTTGCCGGAATCGCGGAATGACTTGATGGGTCTATCGCCGTATCAGAATCACCACTGTCGGGCAATGATAGGACCCACTGTATGATAGACACCTTATCAGGCGTAGGCCGGAACGCGACAAGGCCGTGCAAAAGCAGCATTACGCTCACTGCAGCGACGAGCATGATGACAACCTTCCGGCGGGGCACTTGCTTGGCCCAGTTCTTACCTTCCTCGAGTTTGACCATGGCGGCGGGTATGGCGTCTTGCAGCAGTTGGGAGGACATGGCGAAGAATGGGGAAGATGGGCCTCGTGAGGATGGGGGAATGCGCAGAAACGGACAGTTTTTTGCACCAGGGGGCTGGCGCGTCATCGCAAAGGCTAATCGATCGCGCTAACACTCGGAACATTTCTAATTCCAGAACACATTTGTTTACCCAATTCCTGGGCGGCGCACGCCACCTCTGTTCGATCGGGCTGTTTATTACCTCGAGACGACTGACCGACTGCCGGACCAAAAGATAGTCCGTCGGCGCCGGAGCGGTTCCCCGAGGTCCGACATCTCGACCTCTCCTACAGTATACTATAATACAGCGAGCTCATACTATGCTCCTCCACCTCCACCTCCCCGCTCATCGCCATGTCGCCAGTCACCATCACCGCGGTCCAAGCCGAGCATCACCCGGACGGCTTCGCCATCTCCCACCCGGCCCCCCGCCTTTCCTGGCGCTTCGCCTCCTCTACCTTCAAGGGCTGGAAGCAAGCCTCATACCGCCTCACCATCACCCATCAGGGAGCGAAGGAACAAGTGTACCAAGTGAATAGTGCCGAGAATGTCCTCGTCCCATGGCCTTCGAGGAAGCTCTTGTCGAGGGGCAGGGCGAGGGTCCAAGTCCAAGCTTTCGGTCAAGATGGGGAGGGGACAAACACAATCGACCTCAGCTTTGAAGCTGGTCTTCTCCTGCGTTCCGACTGGTCAGCAGAATTCATCTCCGGCCCTCCTCAAGACCCCGAACTCCCCAAGATCCCCTTCCGCCTCGTCAAAACCTTCTCCCTTCCCTCTCTCGACCCTTCTTCCCCCGCCCGGCTCTACGCGACAGCTCTCGGTCTCTACTCGTGTACCATCAACGGCACCCCCGTCGGCGACCACGTCCTCGCCCCAGGCTGGACAGAGTACAACGACCACCTCCGTCACCAAACCTACGACATCACCTCCCTCCTCCACCCCGGCGAGAACACTATCGAAGCCTACATTGGCGAGGGCTGGTACGCAGGCAGACTTGGCCGGCCTGGGAAGCGAAACAACTGGGGCGAGAGGCTGGGATGGATGGGGCAGATCGAAGTGGGAGGGCAAGTTGTGCTGAGGAGCGAGAAGGAAGGGTGGAAGTGTTTGGATGGGCCGGTGAAGAGGGGAGAGATCTACAATGGCGAAACCTTCGACTCTTCTTATGACTATTCCCACCCCGTCTCCTCCCCCATCGAGATCCTTCCCTTCCCCACCGCCAGCCTTCTATCCCCCGACGCCCCTCCCGTCCGTCGCGTACAAGAGATTAACCCCATCGAGATCATCACCACCCCTTCCGGCAAACACGTCCTCGACTTTGGCCAAAACCTGGTGGGCTGGCTACGTATCGAACGAGACTTTGAGGGAGAGGGCCAAGTGGTGTTGAAGCATGCGGAGGTGCTAGAAGACGGAGAGTTGGGTATGCGGCCGTTGAGGACTGCCGAGTGCGAGGATCGGATCATATTGGGGGGAAAGACGAAAGGGTGGGAGCCCAAGTTTACTTTTCACGGCTTCAGGTGAGTCTTTCTTTCTCTCTCTTCTGGTATTGTCCACTGACAATACCTCAGATATGTCCAAGTAGAAGGCATCAACCCCACCCTCAAAGACTTTACCGCCATCGTCATCTTCTCCGACATGCGGCGTACGGGATACTTCAAGTCGGACCACAAAGCTATCAACCAGTTGCATGAGAATGTCGTTTGGGGCATGAAAGGCAATTTTGTATCTGGTATGTCTTCTTTCTGCTTCGTTGAGAATAAAGCTGATAGCGTCTAGTGCCTACCGACTGTCCGCAGAGAGATGAGAGGCTCGGATGGACGGGCGATATCCAAGTCTTCGCGCCAACGGCAAACTATCTTTTCGATACCACCAGAACGTCTCCATCTCCTCCCCATTCTCGCTGTATTACTGACCTCAAATAGGCTTCCTCTCAGATTGGCTTCTCGACCTCTACGCCTCCCAAAAAACCCACTCCGGCGTCCCCCCAACCGTCATCCCCTACGTCCCCCCCAACAAATTCAACTCTCAACTCCCCAAACCGCAAGCCGCCTGGGCTGACGTCGTGGCTCTCCTCCCTTGGGATCTGTATGAGAGTACGGGGAATGTCGAGGTTTTGGAGCAGGGGTGGGAGGGGATGCGAGCGTGGTTGGATGAGGGTGTGCCGAGAGGGGAGGACGGGATGTGGAGTGGGGATGCAGAGTTGTATGGGGACTGGCTAGACCCCAACGCGCCTCGTACGTATACCCTTCTCTTTTGCTCATTGCAGATAAGCTAACGAGGAGCAGCGCAATACCCCGCACATGGCCGTACCGACACCCACCTCGTCGCCAACGCCTACCTCATCCACGTCACCCGCCTCCTCGCCCACATCAGCACCCTCCTCTCCAAACCCCCCTCCATCATCTCCAAATACACCTCCGACGCCAAACGCCTCCACGCCCTCTTCCTACACGCATACGTCTCCCCAAAAGGCAGGCTCGTATCGGATACCCAAACGGCGTACGCCCTCGCGCTCAAATTCGACTTGCTCCCTGACGAGGCGCAGAAGAAGACGGCGAGGGAGAGACTGGCGTTTCTGGTGAGGTGGAATAGTTTCAAAGTGTCGACGGGCTTTGCGGGGACGCCGATTCTTTTGAGTGTGTTGGCGGACGGGGGGATGGAGGATTTGGCGTATAGGATGTTGCAAGAGAAGGATTGTCCGGGGTGGCTCTACGCTGTCGGGATGGGCGCTACTACAATTGTCAGTCCTCATACTCTTTCCCTCCAACCTCCCCATCTTCTTCTCGAAATGTGACCGCTAACGATGATCGCAGTGGGAACGCTGGGACTCAATGCTCCCCTCCGGCAAGATCAACCCCGGCCAAATGACCTCCTTCAACCACTACGCCCTCGGCGCCGTCGCCCACTTTATGCACAAATACATCGGCGGCCTCTCCCCCCTCCATCCCGGATGGAAACGCGCGCTCGTCAAGCCCCTCGTCGGCGGCACAGTCCGCAGCGCCGAGACGAGCTTTGACTCGGCGGTGGGGAGGTATGCGGTCAGGTGGGATGTGCTGCCGGGGGAGGGGGGGGAGGGAAAGATGCATGTGGAGGTGCAGGTGCCGCCGAATGGGGAGGCGAGGGTGGTGTTGGAAGGGGTGGATGAGGTGGTTGGGGGTGGGAGGTATGAGTGGGAGGTGGAGTGGAAGGAGGATGGGAGGTGGCCGCCGAGAGGGATCCGAGGACCGCAGAGTGTGGCGATGCCAGACGAGTATGTTCCATAGTTACATTCCCGAAAACAGATATAAGCCAAGAATGCAAAGGTCTCGCTCAAGTCTTTAGATGACGTATATCACCTCAGAAGCGTTGAATGATCACTCTTATAACAGTCAACATCCATCACAAATCTCTCATAGCTAGAATCGCTACAAAGTCTACCCTAGTCTGATCATACACCCGGGGGTTATGCGCGGCCTTCGACCTGCCCGAGCTATACCTCGACTTGGGCTGACTGGTCGAGCACATGGAAGCATGGTATCCCTGCGTCCTACTCTCGACACCAGAAGCATCCCACCTGATATGCTGATCCGCCGGGATAGTAGGCACCATGCTACTGGTGAATGTCCTAGTTGAACCATTGAATAGGTCTATCAGCGCTTTTTCTCGCCTCATAAAGGGAGAATGGTTGACGTACCTTGTGGAAGAAGTGTTGGTGTTCGAGTCGTTTTTTGTGTTCGTTTCGGCCATTATCTTTGATTGTAATGCGTAATCGAGTGGACGGACGGAGGAGAATGATGGACTCTTCGGTAACGCTTATATATACACGAGCTGCCATCTACATCACTACTCGTCGCTCAGCCTGGCGCCACCGACTGTAAAGAAGACAATCGATGAACGTGCGATGATATGAGATCTCTTCGTCCCCGCCGGTTACGATACTCAACGCTCTCTGCCGGAAACGCTCTGCACATGGGAACATGAAGACCACTTTTCGCATCCTTCCTAACGACCTGGCAGCAAACCTTATGTTATATATTGCGAGAAGGAATCGCCTGGCATGCCTTGGTGGGGAAGAAACATCAAAGGAGAAGCGATCGCCATGGTCAGTTCTCACATCACTCTACATAGCGCCATCTTGGTCTGGGATGTGGTAATCGGACAGACTAGAGACATGAAGGAAGGAAGGACGGAGATGAGATGCGCCAACGTAAGAAGTCATCGCGCGAGGTCGTTATCGAAAAAGAGTTGAGTGACTCCGAGGCTCATCACCGACTGGTCGATTGAGATGCAAAGTACAAAGCTCTCACGTACACTGCGTAATATGCACTCGAGAAGGCTTCGAGAGAGAAGAGAAGCCATGTAATGAGACAAAAGGAGGATGTTTACGTTCCTCGGATGTGGGGGAGCTAAAGACATCACCCGACAGTGACTGCAGTACCTCAATGCCAAAGCTATCGAGGTCGATAATGACCTCTCACGTTTGCAGTGTATTATTGTCCGCGCTTGACGTTGCTATACCACTCTCACAGAGTCCGTCCAGCTCATCTGATCGCGACTTCTTCCTGACGACGAGGGTCGTTAGGAGGCATCGTCCTCTCCTTGCAAATCAGATGTTCATAAGGCGTTGCATGATATATCAACAAGGTAAAGCGGATACTAGGAGAGCATAGCCCACTTTTGCCGTTTAAATGCCAGCAGCCTTCTTCACCAACCTCTTCGTCCTCATGAAAGGCAACATACCCCCACACTTGATATGGACAAAGCCCTTGTACTTGTCGTCATGTTCTTTAAGCCTCGCGATATCCACCTCCAGCTTGCTCGACACTCGGCGAGGGGACTCGGAGTGGCAAGCGAAGCAGAACCCTCCTTTCAAGATCCGAGAGAGTATGTCGATAGTATCGGTCGAGGCAGGGGTAGAGCTGGCAGCGTTGCTCGCGACGTAGAGGTGAGTGTGGGTGTCAGAAAAGTAACTACCGAGTAGCCGGTTGCCGTGGGTAACGTATGAGAGAATGTAGCCAGTGGGAACGTTCTCGGTGCTGATGCTCTTTGCCTCAGAGTTAACAAGATGTTGAACTGCGTAGCGTCAGCTCTGTACCCAAGTCTGTTGAAATCAACGTGGGAGCTTACCATCTATGTTCTCAGTGGAACCGTGAGAAGGGTGCTTAATCGACATGCTCTTGTCGAAAGAGGTGAAGACATTGTGGGCAGAACCCATGTTGGAAGAAGAGACAGTAGACATGTTCGTTGTGAGGGGGGGTGGGTGTTCTTTTGGTAATGCTATTGGTTTGACGGGGGTGATGGATGAGATGAAGAAGACGCTGCAATGCAGACGCAAACCCATCTTATATGCCAGAGCGGATACTGAAACCAATGTAAATCGACGACTTCATGACAATACGGAACAACAGCGGATAAGACCCACATGATCGCGGAAAGCAACTCGAAACGTCTTGCCGCGGCCATCGTCCATTCAGGCTGCCGGAGACTGCGGATAAACATCTGATTCAGCAGGTATGACTCTGTGGATGTGGTACGCTGTTCTAGATATCATCGGCAGATAACACAGTCAATACGTGACGATACGAAAAGAGGCGCCTGCGTCGTCATTTGTCTTCCGACAGCTGTTCCGCTCGGTACGCCAAAACTCTTTTCGTCCGTATCGTCATCAACAACGATTTAGGCGATACGTCAGCTTACCTTTGCGCCTGTATGAAATCACGAGATAGTATGCAGCTCGATATCATAGATTACAAAGTGAGACTTCGTTGCGGCGGGGTGACAATTTGATGGTTTAGGAGCAAAGCTTTCTACCACGACATCCGTGATTCGAGTCTTCGTCTTGACAAGCTAGATACGCAAGCTGTGTCAGATGCAATGCATACTGATGTCATGTTTGAAGAGGTTATCGTTGATCTACTTTTTTCTTTTCTGATCTCAGATCCATATCAGTGATTTCAGTTCGTTTGATGAAGTTTTCTCTTCATTACTGGCGAGGGTAGTCAAGATTGGAAGTCACGAACGATTACATCATCTGGAAGAAGGTGCCGGTGTTGAGTTGAAAGACAACAGCGTCAGGTCCTATATTTTTCTATGCCGGCCGGTAAGCTGTTCATCGCAAGGATTCTATCGGCCCGGAAGAGGGATATGCTATAGAAGATAGTGGAGTATGTAACTGGTAAGTGAAGAACATATACAGACAGGCAAGAACGAATCGTAGGGGGAATTGGGGCGCGAACGCCCGAGAAGGGTTGACAATACTATTCTTGCAGCTTGATACTGACAGTACCGTGTACAATGTCGTCTTGTAAAGATGAAGAACAGACCAGATAGTAAGGGAGTCTTATGAGCATGCAGCAACTGTTGGACTGGCAGAAGCAAACACCCAACACATCAACAGTCGCCGCTCGACCTTGAAGTACGTTTCAATGTATTTGGTGCTCGTCACTGAACGCGAGGACATGACAGTAGCGACCAGTGTCAGTGATGCGTTATACATGTATCGTATTGATGAGATATCGAGCAGTCCCAGTTGTATAGGTAAAAGAAAGGGTAATGACTATCAAACAGAGCTCATCACGACGACGACAACTCATCTCGCGGAGTCTCTCCTTTACATCTTCGTCTCTCTTTTTTGACTCCCTCGTCAATGCTCTATCAAATGAGCAGCTCATTCAAGGAAGGGGGTTGACATCAAAGCATCATAGAGCGGATTCTAAATTTCGACAAAGGAGAGTTGATTGATAGCCAAAAGGATGGTAGCGTCGGGCCTCATATATGATTGCCGGCCCACTGTTTGATTCAATAATAACTTGGTGATAAAAGAGATATAATATGCCAAGTGGGGTTCACGGGATATAAAATGATAACAGACACATTGCTACCCATAGTCATTCCATAAACCGATTAACACACAATGTCGCAACAAGATTCGGTCAGTAAAACCCGCTCTTCTCGTCTGAGCCCGCTGACTGAATACTCTGTAGCAAGAAGAAGCTCACTATGTCTACCCCGACCCATCGACGTTAGACGAAGGGAACCCGCTTGGCCAACACCCCTACTATCGTACACTTCAAGTACAGGAAGAAGACGACGAAGAAGCGTATGAAGGAGAATATCGATATGACGACCTGGAAGAGTATCAATACGACAACGAAGCTGAACAGTTCCAAGATCATACAGGTATTCAAAACTCTGAAGGCTACAGCACCTCTCAGCAAGATCAGCTTACTACTACCACCAGTAGTCATACCAATCGCTCAAAGCCCGGAACAGCATGCCCGTGTCCGGTAGAACACACTTCCTTTCTCTCGAGGGTGGAAGGCAAGAAAACATGGATACCCTCTCAAGGTCCGCAATGTCCGAGAACCATACATCCGGAAAGCCCATACAGCTTGTGTTATACATGTGTAAGTACCACTGCATCTGTGAGCGCTGCTACAAGGCTGACGGTAGAGTTAAAAGCGAGAGAGAAGTTCGCATACGCAGGCCCATGTGGAAAAGCTGACAGAGGCTGGAGAGGATACGGATGATAGACTTTGTCAAATCTTCAAAGCATATAACGAGAGTGACAAGACGGTCAGATGGCTAAAGTACCTCAACAATGAGAGCCGAGAGAACGATGGAGAGAACTGAAGGACAATCCTCCGGCTGGTATGCAGATGAACATATATGCTTTGCTGCTACTAGCTCCCTTCATATCCTTGATACATGCCCCCTGCACCCTCTTGGATCCCTATATCGCTCAACAGCCAGCCTCTCCGGCGGCGACCCCCGCGCAGTTACCCGTCGCCGAGTCCCCTCGCGTTCTTTTATTTTCACAACGATTTCCCCCCACCTCCATCTTTTCCACCCCCCATTTCCCCTTCGATTCCCCTCCAACCAGCCCCCACACATCAACCCCCGCTCTACACACTCCACCATGCCCCGCTCGTCCCCGCTCCTGCACCAATTGCGCACCTTTGCCACGTCCCTCAGACCAATCCCCAGCAAGCGATTACATTACGTCCTTCCTCGGCCTGCCGCCGTATCCGAAATGGGTCTGCGGTTCGGGGGCAAGAGGGGAATATCATCCACTCCACGTGAGTGCTCTTCATCTCACATTCGGTAAATGGGCGGGGGAGCTGACTCATGTAGCGCGATATCACGGCGACCTCGTTCGGCCTGAGCCTGGTACCGGGTACGTTCCAACCCCCTCTCGCCCCTAGCCTCAAAACGCCATACTGATACTTTATAGCATCAAGCTGATATTCCGGGACTCGAACGGCGCCGATATCAAAACCGTCGAAGGCAACGAAGGCGACGACATCCTCTCCCTGGCGCACGAATACGATGTCGACCTCGAAGGTCCGTCTCCCTCTTCTTCCCCTCCCCCCCCCCCCTCTCTCCCTCTCCCTAAGAGACCCCATGCTAACGGTACTTGCAGGCGCATGCGAAGGCTCCGTCGCATGCTCAACATGCCACGTCGTGATAGACCCCGCCAGTTTCGACCTTTTGCCCGAGGCGGATGATGAGGAGAATGATATGCTGGATTTGGCTTTTGGTCTTGAAGATACGTGAGTCACCGTTCCTGGTGGTGGTTCTGCTCGGACGAATGGGGGTTCTGAGTTGTGGCGAGCGAGAGTCAAGGGGTACGAGCCTGAAGCGTAGAGGACGGGCCGTCACAGCCCTCCCGCCCACCCAATCCCCCTCACCTCGCTTCTATACATCATATCTTGACATTCGCTAATGCCCCCCCATGCAGATCTCGGCTCGGCTGCCAATGCAGACTCACAAAAGGACTAGACGGCATGGTCGCGACCTTACCGTCGGCTACGAGGAACATGTATGTCGATGGTGCGTTCTCCTTTTTCTTCCTTCTTTCCTCTTTTCTTTTCCTCCCTTCTTTTTTCCCTTCAGCACTTTCCCCTCAACCATTTTCTGCTTGCTGCTATTCCGCGCGCTTGACAAACCTTTTTTCTTTTTTCGTATCATCCCCACAGTCTTCAGTGCCGAGCGGAAAGCTGACCCCCCAACGCAGGAGCTAAAGCCCGAACGCATTAAAATCCCACCCCCCAAAACACAAAAAGGCTCTCGTCAGAACCCCCACCAATCTATACCCCTCATCGCTGTTCCTTAATCTCGGGGTTTCTTTATTAGCATTCGGCTGGATGTATATCAAAAATCATGTTTCACGATTGGCGTTACAGGAATTGCCTGTCGTGAAAGAGCGGCGAGGGGTGTAAGGAGTACGAGTACAGAGAGGTACAAGGGGGCTACAGAGATGTTGCGAGGAATGTAGAGATAGGGTGTACATGTCGAGACGTTTGGCGTTTGGCGTTTGGAGCGAGATGAGTAGTCCAGGCCCGGGGTTTATCTTTGCAAGACTTCTTGTCGGTCAATTACACCCATCCATTCTTGCAAAACTCGCATCCTTTCCACCACACAATCATCTTTTGTCAGTTGACACTTTTATCATTACACGTCTCTCTCGCCATAAACATAAATACGAGTACGTTCTTTGAAGCATGACAGCGCAACAAGCAGGGGGTTAGCCCATCATGATCTGACATACCCACTCTGTGCTGCTCCCCACTCCTTCCGAATGAAGCATACAGTCGAAAAAAGTCTTTTTTACATTGGTTCTACGTCAATCTGCCATCTGCCGTCCGTCATAAAAAATCAAATAGAAAAATGAAACCAAAAAAAATAAGAGCAAAACGCTCATCAACTCGACCCCCCAAGGCAAGGCCGCCTCACCATCTCCCAGACCCCGCCACACTACTCTCCGGCACAACCTTCCCGCCCACCCCGCCCTTCCCGCCCACCCCGGCGTCTTCCTCCTCTTCTTCTTCCTCCTCGTCGTCGTCTTCATCTTCATCCTCATCAAACAACCTTCCCTTCTCCTTCTCCTTCTTTCCCCTCCCTCCCCCTCCCCCTCCCCCTCCATCCTTCTCCTCCCCATCCTTCTCTCCTTCCCCTTCCCCGGCGGCCACACCACCCCCCACCTTCCACCTCCCCCTATAGTCCACTTGAGATAACTGATCAACATTCGCCGGCCTCTCCCTCAACCACCCCATCCTCGGGCCGCTCCGCGCCTGCTCCGATACGCGGAAACCGTATATCTTTGGGGTGTAGACTTTGCCGAGGGCGGGTTTCTGGCCGCCGTGCGGGTTTGGGTTGGCGTTGGCGTTGGGGTGGGGGGTGGCGTGGGCGTGGGCGTGGGCTTGGGGGTGGGGGTGGGGGGTGGGGGGCGTGGGGGCGGAAGAAGAAGAAGAGGAAGGGGGCGGGGGTGGGGATACGAAAGGGGCAGAGTGGAGTTCTGGGTATGTTTGGAAGAAGAGCGGGGCGAAGGAGGTGCCGAAGAATGCACCTGGAATTCCAAAAGCGTCAGCGCCCCAGTCTTGCAAGTCGCTGCCTGGTTGTTGTGCTCGGCACTACTTTTCGGCGTTCATACACTCTCCACCCTCCCCTCCCACCCACCCTCCCACCCTCCCTCCACCCACCACCCACCCATCACCCACCCCCTCCCCCCGCGCCCACCCCCCCGCCCCCAGAGAAAAAACTCACCATCAACATTCTGATACTTGCTGCTCGGCGGCGTATACATATCCCCGCAATTCGGGCAATACAGCTTGACCGTATCGATCCCCGGCATATCCGACCGCCCGCAGGGGAGGACGGGGGTGGCGTTGCAAAATACGCGGGGGCAGGCGCCGAAATGGGCGAGGTCGTATTTCTCCACCTACCCTTTCCTGTCAGCTTTGTCGGAAGGGGAGGAAGGGGAGGGAGGGGAGGAAGGGGAGGGAGGGGGAGGGGGAGGGGGTACGCACCATGGCGCTGAGACCGGCTTTGGTTAGGATGAATCGTTGATGAACGAGGCCGTAGAGCAGCTCGGCAGAAGACTCTACGATAGACACGTCTGGGATCTTTGATGAATCTTCTTCTACCCCCCCCATCTATCAGCACTATCTTGAGAATGATGAGATCGCGTACCAGGCTCAACGTCGAGGACCATATCCAAGGCTTCCCTCCAGAAGGGCACCATACTCTGCAGGCCTGTCAAGTTGAAGTCGTCCTCGATGAATTCTTCGTGGGCTTCGCAGAAATAGTCGTGGCCTGTGAGGGATGTGTACCAGTTCTGGTGGTCGATTAGCATGATGGCACGGGGGGGCAGGGAGAGACGTACGATCCAAGTGAGGGTGCTGGTCTGGGAGGAGCTGGCGGTGTCGATCTCGTAGGCGTCCTGCTCTATCTCGTCGGGGTCCATCTCGGCGTACTGCTGTGCCATCGTGCTCGTGGAGAACAACTACGTAAATGGAGGGAGGGAGAAGGCAGACGCCACAGCTCCCCCGGCGGCGATTGCCGCAAACCCCGATAGGCACCCCACTTGCACTTGCACGGGATAGGCGCGGGCATGACGTGTCTCACTTTCCCCCGCCGCCTCTTCCTCTTCAGCATCTCACCCACCATGGACGAGGAATACGACGTGGGTACATGCCATACAAGAGGGCGGGCTGACGTAAGCAGGTTATTGTGCTGGGCACCGGGCTCACCGAGTGTATCCTCTCGGGGCTGCTGTCCGTCGACGGCCAGAAGGTGCTGCACATCGACAGGAATGACTACTACGGTGGCGACAGCGCGAGTCTCAACTTGACCCAGGTACGTCCCCCTCCCCTCCCTCTTGCACCCCCCTAACACTCTCCCAGCTGTACCAGAAATTCCGCAACTCACCCCCCCCCGAGTCGCTCCAACTCGGCCGCGACCGCGACTACGCCGTCGACCTCATCCCCAAATTCATCCTCTCCTCCGGCGCCCTCACCCAGATGCTCGTCCACACCGACGTCACCCGCTACCTCGAATTCAAAGTCATCGCCGGCTCCTACGTCTACCGCGACGGCAAGATCAGCAAGGTCCCGTCCACCGAGATGGAGGCTGTCAAGAGCCCCCTCATGGGCTTGTTTGAGAAGAGGCGGGCGAGAAACTTTTTCCAGTTTATCCAGAATTGGAAAGAGGACGACCCTGCGACGCACCAAGGTAGGTCTCCCTCTTTGCGCTCAGACCCCCGCTCACACCCTTTAGGACTCGATATCAATACAGTTCCCATGAAGGACGTCTACTACAAATTCGGCCTCGAGGCCGGTACCCAAGACTTTGTCGGCCACGCCATGGCCCTCTGGCTCGACGAAGAGTACATTACCAAACCCGCGCGCGAGACGATCGACCGCATCATCCTCTACACCGCCTCCATGGCCCGCTACGGCAAATCCCCCTACATCTACCCCCTCTACGGCCTCGGCGAGCTCCCCCAAGCCTTTGCCCGCCTCTCCGCCATCTACGGCGGCACCTACATGCTCCAGAAACCCATCTCCGACATCAAGCTTTCTTCTGATGGCAAGTTTGAAGGGGTGACGAGTGAGGGGGAGACGGTCAGGGCGAAGAAGGTTATTGGGGATCCGTCGTATTTTGGGGCGGGGAAGGAAGATGGGGAAGGGGGGAGGATGAGGGTGGTCGAAACCGGCAAGGTGGTCCGTGCTATCTGCATTCTCAAACACCCCATCCCGGGCACGGACGCTTCCGACTCTTGTCAGATTATCATCCCCCAGAAACAAGTCGGGCGTAGGAACGGTACGTCCCCATCCTTCTCCTCCTCCTCCTTCTCCTCCTCCCTCTTCCCCGTCCCCGCTGACACTCTCTCTCATAGACATCTACATAGCCTCAATGTCTGGCGCCCACAACGTCGCTCCGAAAGACGTCTACATTGCCATCGTCTCCACCATCGTCGAGACTAGCGTGCCCGAGCGCGAGATCCTGCCTGGGCTGCAGTTGCTTGGGAATGTACTTGACAAGTGCGTTCTTTTTCCCCTTCTTCCCTTCCTCTTCTTCTTCTTCTTCTTCTTCTTCTTCCCACTCTCCTTTTCCCTCCCCCCAACCCCTCCATCCCTCCGTCCCTCCCAAAAAGCACAAACAAGACACAAAAGAAAACCCCAAAAACTGACCCATCGCACGGCAAACAGGTTCATATCCATAACCCCCCTCTACGCCCCCACCTCTTCAGGGCAAGACGACAACATCTTTATCACCAAGTCCTACGACGCCACCTCGCATTTCGAGACGGTTGTGGAGGATGTTTATGATGTTTGGAGGCGTTACAAGGGGGGGGAGGAGTTGGTTTTGAAGAAGAGGGATGTTGAGATTGAGGCTTAGGCTTAACGTAGGAGCGAGGGGAGAGGGGAGAGGGGAGAGGGGAGGGAAAGGAAGCTGGCGGTGTACTTGTAGTTATATATGTGGTTTGAGTTGGATTTGGATTTGTGATTTGTGATTTGGATTTGAAAGTATGAAATCAAGAAATCAATGGTTGTTCTGTTTGCTCCTTGCAAAAGATATACTACGACCACATCGACCTCTGCTTCAAGTACGTCCCCATCCATCCGTCAAGCGAAGTCTCTCTCTTCAACATCTCATCACACCATGTTTCTTTCTCGCGAGGGCTTCTTCGAGGGTCACACACCTCCTAAAACCCCACCGCCCTACCCAAAACCCCGGACGAGTTTCTTGAAATCAGAAAAAGATGAGCGTAGGTTAAGGGAAACATGACGCAACGGTAATTAACGAGGGAAAACACGATCCATAGACAGAATATTTCATGTAAAACACAACGGCAAAAGGCTACTTTACTCCCCCCCCCCCCCCCCCCCCCCCCCCCCCCCCCCCCCCCCCCCCCCCCCCGCGCGCCCGCTGGTCAACAAGCCTGATTTGCCAGACGATGGATCAATTCAAGTTCAAGTCAGTTTTTTTCCCTTTCCTGGCCCCTTTACAAACGAAAAGCTGACGCGCGTGCTGTAGCTACTAGCTACATGAACTTCTGCCCCCGTCTTTGACGTCCGTCCACACCGCCAAGCACCGCCAAGGAGTCCAGGGCGGGGCGGGGTAACGGTCTTTCAAACCTACCTCCGGTCTTTCAAACCTACCTCCGGATATGTACGTAGTCAAAACGGTACCCCTGCATGTAAATGGATTGTGAGATTGTACACCTGGTCTACCGAGCACTCAAAGGAGAATTTGAGCTTGTATGACCATAAAAGCAGAGGTATAAAGAATTTGCATCCACAAAAGTCAGACTGTACACGGAACACAGTACCCCCGAGACTCTCGATCAGATATGATGCAAATTCACACTGACCTGGGAGGCCGAGGCTCGGAAGCAATATATGAAACAGACCACAACTCACAATTGTGTCCGGAAAACTTGAATCTAGTAGTCAGAGCAAAGTCTTTTCCTCCGGTATGACTTTCGATCTCCGATTTCCTGCTTGTTTTCCGGATTCCGGTCCTTGGTACATAGCGGGTATGTACTCTATTTCGGTCCACCTGGGCATTTTAGGGACATGCCAAAGGGGACGCTGCTCCCGAACACAGCTTCGAGCCATAGTGCAGAAAACAAGTTGAACATGACGTGCGGGGTACGGTGGTGGCAGATGAGTCTTCTTACTGACTTGACCTATTACACCCAGTGCTAAAGAGCGACGCGCCATGATGACCGACTCATTGCAGCGCAGTCCCACAATAGGCAGCTATATAACACATACCCGGTGCCAAGGACGTACTACATTGCAAAGGACGGACAGCAACAGTTGACGCAAAGCGTACAACCAGACCGGACACGGGGTTCGGACCCCCGGAGGCAGAACGAAGCTGTGTTCATAACGGACATGTCACACTCCGCGAAGATGACCAACGCCGAAAAGCTATATAAACTCCTATCCAATCTCTATTTTCGTCCTCCATCACATCACTCTTTACTTGACTTTCATTCACCTACTCTATCCCACTTCTATAACCACCAAACCAATATATATCACCAATATGTTCAAGTCCGCCACCGTCCTCGCTACCCTCGCTCTCATTGTTTCCCCCGTCTTGGCCGCCGACTACAGGGTGTTGGTCAACAAGCCTGATTGCCAGACTGTCGATCAATTCAAATTCAAGTAGGCTCTCTCTTACCCTCACACATCTGCAAAGAATGACACGAGCGCGGTAGCTACGAAACCCTTTGCCCCGTCTTCGACGTCGGATCTAACAACACATTCAAAGGCGTCTTGGTCGAAGCCGGGGACTTTTCTGGAGACAACAACGATAGTACGCTCTCTCTCTACTTTCTTTCTCGTTGGCCGAGTGCTAATATGACAATAGCTCAAGCCCGTGTATACTGCGTAAGCGTTTATCCTTCCGTTCACCTGGCTCATTCACCATACAAAGGAGCATTAAACTGACAACATTCTTTACGCAGACCTGGACTAACGTTACGGATGGTTCCACCTACACCCTCTCCAACGACGTCGCCATCTCTCTCGGTGGATCCAAGGCGTGATTCAAATCTCAAAGTTTTCTTTGAAAGTGGTGGAGCGTTTGTAGTGAATCGATCGATAGCGGACGGAATGAATCTCGTTTCTGCGATCCTGTTTCCTGCTCCAGTGTTTGAATTTCGAAGCAGGATCGTGGTGAACATGGAAGGAATATGCTGCAGTAGCCGCGATCCAAACATATCAGCCCGCCGACTAGTCAATCCAGCTTGCAGGACCGCTAGGCGAGTTAGGCAAGACAGTACATCAATCGAGTGTGGGTACAAATCAAAAGTATACATGCGCTGCTCATTCTTTCCTAGCCTAACCTTCATTTCGTTCGCTAAGACAATAGGTCCATATAGAGCCCCGATGGGTGTGAAGCAGAAAGAATTGGTATCGGAACGAATGCAGGAGGTAGACCATGTAAAGGATCGGACGGGTTTTGGAGGTAACCGGAAGCATAGCGTCTTTCCAGCTGTCGGTAATCGTCTCAAATATCCTACACCTGATGTCCAAGATTTCAGCATAGAGACGACGAAGCACATTATCAGTACTCACGGCAGCAAATAGCATTGCCAGGCGGGGGGAGAACCCGTCAGCAAGCCATGCGCAATGGCTTGGAACAAGGAGCCCTCACTGTAATAGACGCCAGATCGTTTCAAGATCTTTGAAGAGTTTGGATGTCCTTATCTAGGAGGTGGTATCGGCCGGGGACAGGGATGAAGCCGACAAGGATGATGGCAGCAGTGAGAGAGCTATGACAGCGAGTAAGCGAGCGAGCTTGGGCGGTTGTTGCAGTGATGATGGATGATGGCTTACATTGCGGACACACGCATTGTCTCCAAGTGACCAAGAAAGAAGGAGATGGCCATGACGGTCGGCATGATACTAAGGAAGGATGGACAGGTCTACTTATTGCCGCTGAAGATGAGACGTGTCAGCTTGAAGACAGATGGCTGTTGCAGTCACACTCACAGGATATCTAAACCCCTTTCAGGGTTGTCAAAGGTCGGGACTTTTGTCCCATCCTTAATAAAGAAAAACCTTTCCCGCCCAGGAAAGCCATCCAGTCCTCTTTCGTCACCCACCCGCCTTCTCATCGACCTCCTGCTGCCTATACTAGCAAGCCTGTTCACTTTGAGGATGTGTAGGCCATGAGCGTGTTTGTCGATTCAGGAGTGGCTGGGAGACGCTGCCCATGGTGAAGGATGCCTGTACGCTGGGGAGGGGAGAAGGATGAGATGCAAATGAGAAATCAACATCAACATACACAAAGCAACAACGTGTTGGCGCCGCGCGTCACTCAACATCCACCATGCTCGCCATGGGTATCACGCCAGCATGTCTCTCAACATTCCAACTTTCCATACCAGTCGACCGTGTATGCGATACATAAAAGCACTAGCAACAGATCTATCCGATCTAGATTGTACTTGATCCTACAAACAGGAAAACTAGACTACTAATACAACGGAAGCATGTATATTCTCGAGATTCGTAATCTTTCCTGCCCTTTATACAGATAAACCACCATGACGATAACCAGAAAACCCCTCACTCCTCCTCCCGCCTAACCTTCCCAAGCTTGCCCTTCGCAGCCTCCTTCCTCTCCGCCGCAAACGCCCCAAGCTCCTCGTCCAACCCCATCTCACTCCCCGGATCCTGCATCTCCTCGTTCTGCCTCTCCAACAACGGCCTAATCAGCCTCTCAAAGTACGGATGGACCTTTGGAGTCGGGTTGGCCGCTTGGACTTGGGCAAAGTAGGACTCGTAAACGGAGCCGTCGTATTTGCCGAGGGGAGAGTTGAGGATATGGTCGGAGAGGGCGAAAGAGTCGACGAGGGGGACGGCTACGGTACGCACGTCGGCGCAGAGAGCAGAGACGGCAATTTGGACCTTGTCGATCTGCTCGGGGGTGTAGTAGCCGTCTTGATAATCATCAGCGCTCATTCCATAAGGTCGGACATGACGTACACTTCAAAAAGTACCCCTGCTGCTCTTCGATCTGCCAAAGCCCATACAGCTTACAAACACTCTCCAAAACCTCCGTCTCCGGCCCCTTACCCGACTCCTCCACCGCCTCCCTAAACATCCCAAAGATATACCCAATCACATGCACCTTGGCCGCCACAAACCTCGACTGCGAACACGCCTCCATAGCCTCCTCCTTGGTCTTGCCATCCTTCATGAGGGAGAGGTACTCTTCGGCGGCCTTTTTGATGACGTTGGCGGCGACGCAGTGCCAGGCGCGTTGGATGTCGGTGAGGGAGAGAGAAGAGTCGGATGTGGCGGTGAGGACGGAGCGGTCGTTGAGGAAGGCGACGCCGGAGACGAGTTTCTTGCCCTTCATCGCATCTACGCATATCAGCAACAGCGTGCGAAGAGTAACAAAAGACTTACCGCCCCAAGCGGAGACGAGCGAACGTCCAGCCTGCAGACTCAAAATGGTATTGTCGCCCTCCCAAGTACTGCCTCACCATCAGCATTTGCACCCCGGACAAAGGGGGCAGACTCACCATTGCACTGCAAAGTCCGCGTACATTCCCGGAAAGTTGGAGTACGCAGAGTACCCATGCCCTCCACAAGACTGTCTACACTTGTCGATAGTGTCTAGACACGCCCATGTGCAGAACGCCTTGAGACCGGCAGAAGTGGAGTGGGTTTCTTTGAGCTTGTCGAGGGTGGCTCCGAGGTTGGGCTGTGATTCGTATCGGCGATGGTCTATTTTGCGACAAGGTACTTACGTCCGAAGGGTCCATGGTATCGAGAGCCTGGGTCATGTCCTCGTACATCTTTGTGAGTCGGAGTCCAGTGAATCCGATAGCAACGGCTTGAGCGACAAGAGGCTGGTGATGATCAGCGACTCTTCCAACATCAACGTTATAATACTCACGATCAAACGACGCTGGTGGATGGGATAATCCAACAGCTGAGTCTCGACTTCGTTCTTACCCGTCGAGAACTGACGTCGAACAGCAGCGTATCGGATAGCGATGGTCAAAGCCTACATATCATCAGCCAAGCGTTACAACCCCAGGCCAAAAGACTCACCTTCTTGGCAGTGGTACTAGAGTCGGTCACCATGGTCGTTCTTCCAGCGAGCAAAGCGCCATAAGTAAGCTGGGCGAGGAGCTATACCACCGTCAGCAATGTGCAGCCCCATGGCAACGCAAAACTCACAGGCTCGGTGACGGCACCCTCTCGGGATACTTGGGTGTGCTTCATGAGCATATGAGCTCGAGGGACGCGGACGTAGGTGAATTGGATATAGCCATTGTCTAGCACGACGTCAGCACCCAGTCGTAAACACTTGATGATAGACTCACCAATACCATCCCGACCCATCTTCTTTCCGATATCTCCAATAGTGATACCAGGCAAGAGCTGGAACGTCCTACAATAGCCATGAGCACAGCACCAAGACTTGCGCTCATACTCACTTGGTATCCCTCAACTGCGTCACAAACGTCTTCACCCCATGCTTCTTCCCATCAATAATCATCTGCGCAAACACCGCCGCATGCGTCGCCGTACTCGCCGCTCCCCCAATCCACCACTTTGTCGCTCCAAGATGCGGCGTATGGATGATAAACTCATCAGTCTCCCTATCAAACGTCGCAGTCGTCTCGAGCCCGGCGACATTGGAGCCGTGAGCAAGCTCGGTCATGGCGAAACATCCAATAACTCCGTTAAGCCCAAGAACGCCTTTATCGATCCAATAGCCTGGGAACGGGAGGCGAGGTTAGTTCCCCAGGAACACGGGAAACGAGGAAGGGAAAGGCGTACTAAATTGGTTGGGGGTTGCTCCGCCGCGCAGTGCTCCTAGAAAAAGACCATAGGCAACTCCAAAGCGTGTCCAGAATGAAGGATCAGCCATGCTGATTAGCTAACGAGAGTGTCAGCCGCAATGTCTGGAAAGAGAGCAAGTGCTCACCTGCATCCTGAGCCCAAACACCTCCAGACTCTCGGTCGTCACAAAGTACACCATCGACGAAAACTTTTCCATAGTCCTTTCCCTCAGCTCTTCCTTGCTGAGATCGTGTATATCCGACAATTTGAAAGCGGGGTGACGGGCGATCTGCACGGCGATCAGTTGATGGGCCATATTGGCAAAGTGGGGCATATCACTCACTTCGGCCATGAACTTTTCTTTCAGCAGAAGGGCTCGCTCAGAGCCGTGCATCTTGATAGCAAGCTTGCGTACGTTGAATGGTGGGTCTGCGCGCTCCTGCGTTTTATGGTCAGCGCCGCTCAGGTGATGGCAAATGCAGACATACCACAGCGAGCGTCTCCATCTAGCAGAAGGTCAGCTTGCGACGCCGGGGGATGTGATAGCACTCACTGTAGTGGGCTTGGGCCTCGGGAACGCCATGTTGCAGATGTAGTAGAAGAAGAATGAGATGGAGATGGAAGAAGGGATTGAAATGGTCAAGCAACCCAAGCCTGTGTTTTTGCGGCGACCTCCGGGTAACCACGCGTCCAATAACCGGGAGCGACCCTTGTCAAACCCTTGTTGGCGTCAGCCATGAGCCCAATCTCGTCTTGCTCCTGCAAAATCGGGAAGCTCCAGGCAGGGAAATCAAGGAAAGTTGAAGGGACGGGTGCATCGACGTCTGCTTCCCTACAAGGTGCTAGAATAGAGCGAAGTGAGCGAGGGTTGTCTTCTTTTTTCGTCTTGCCTTGCGCTTGAACGCTCCCCCACGTTATACTTGTCTATGCCGACTATTGATCGATGTCCAAGGGTATAGCATGGCATATAGGTAGACCAAGCGTGTAACGTACAGCCTTGAAGAACTCATCCTCTTCCTCCGGCTGCCTCGACATTCACGTACTCTAGTTCGGCCGATCTGACTCGCCATCACCCGCAGAACTGGGGACGTATACCATTTGTATGCTCAACAAAGACCACTTACTTATGACTGTTTGTCATCTTTTGCTTTCGAGATCTGTCCATCCATTGACGTTCATCATATAACGCAGATCCCTGCAGCTGTGCACATCACCGTTGTTGTCGTGCAAGAAAAGCTGTCGGTGTGTGCAGAATGTTCCATCTCGTCATCAGCTGTCAAGCTCGCAGATCATGCAGATCACTCCCTCACTCATTTGACTCTCTCATTTGAGAATGAGATTCAGCGATAAACTACACGTGAACATCCCATCGCGTACCGTATCGTTGGTAGTCGATATATGGCCTCGTTCTTCTAACTTGTGATTGTACTATGCTATGCAAAACTCATCATCTTATGCTCAAGCCGGAAAATATGCAAAGATATGCCAAGATACTGCCAAACACGCCCCGTCCTATTTTGTTCTCTGTCCGCACGTTGCTCCTCACCTCTCCCTATACCACGTAACACCACACAACCATCCTCACATCCTCACATCCTCGCAGCCTCAATGCCATAGGCAGAAGGCAGCACACCAACATCAAACCCCAAAACTCCCCCCCAAAAGCACCCCCTTCCGTGCCCCCATCCACCCCCTCACCTCTTTCCCATACTCTCCCACCTGATGTGCTAGTTGACGCTCCCAGGCTGCTTTTCGGCGGAGGTAGATCTCTTGTGGGAGGCATGGGGCCGTAGGGGGAGATGAAGAAGAAAAAGGGGAGGATGGGAAAGGGGAAGGAGGAGGTGGTGGTGGGGAATGTTGAGCAGAGAGGGGCAGTGCTGTTTCAGAGAATGGAGGGGGAGGTGATACCGCTGACAAGAGGCTTGGCGACGCTGAGGATGACGCTGGCTTGGCTAGCATAGATCCGACCTCAGAGGGAGACTGATAAACAGGAGGATATCGCGAGTGGTATGACCTCGCCAGCCGAAGGAGGCGGAGGGTATATCGACATAGCGGCCGACACAGATGATCCCATTCGTACTCTTTCTGTTGCCTCCTTTCCTCCTCATCTACTTCTAGTCCTTCTTCTTCCAGAAGCTTCTTCTTCTC